TGGCAGCAAGAAGTCTTAAAAAGGGTTGACTCTTGTGTAAAAACATTTTTGCCCTCATTCATCCCATTATGTCCTCACCTTTGCTTTTCACTTTTTCCATCACTTTTTAAAAACTTTAGAGAGAGAAAAAGCAGGGAGAGGGAGGGGGAGGGGGAGAGGGGGAGAGAGATGGAGAGGGAGAGGAAGAGGGAGAGAGAAGGGGGAGGGGGGAGGGAGAGGGAGAGGGAGAGGAAGAAACATCGATTTGTTGTTCCACTTATTTATGCATTCACTGGTTGATTTTTACATGTGCCCTGACCAGGGATCCAACCTGCAACCTTGGTGTATCAAGAGGACACTCTAACCAACTCAGCTAACCGGCCAGGGCTTGCCATCACATTTTAACCTATGCTCTTCTATCACAAAACTTTTGTGATCTGCCTAAGATACTTTCTGGGACAAGGCAACATACAGACTACCTGCCTACTGTAGTAGTATAAAGCTCTTTAAGACAGAGTCTGATTAGTATTCCCACTCTTGATCAGTTTACACATTATTTTTATAATACAAACTCTGGCCTCATCATTCCTGAGGTGTTTTGTTTTGTTTTTAAGATGGCAGAAATATCCCAGCATTACTGCAAATAAATTGGGGGGCGGGGGGGAAGTATGTATTGGAAACTTACATTTACTTAATTCTTATAACCCTAAGCATAAGTCCTGTTTTACTTGTGAAGAAACAAACACTACGGAACTTACCGTAAGTCACAAGTGCAGGAAGTAGCTGATGGTCATTAGAACGGAGGTCTGTAAGATTCCAGCCCACCCCTTTCAATACACTCTGCTGCCTCCTTCAAATCAGAGAGACTTGTTTCTTTTATCAGAAACTTCCATTTTCTCTTCATATTTTAAAAAATAATGCTATAGAATCAAAGGTGAAGCATCTCTTTCTGTTTTAAATATGGTATCTTACCAACAAAACAAAAACATTCTGAAATATATAAACTGGAAAGCAAAACAGGTCCATGTTGATAAACAATTCCAGACTCTAGATGTGTTTGTTTTACCTAAATGGGATCAAATTAAACACAGTCTTCTGGAAAACTGCTCTTTTCATGGAATCATGCTGCTTTTCCATGTTAGTACCTTTGGATCTACCATTTCCTTGTTAATTACTATACACTTCGCTGCTAAGCAGATGGACTGAGCTTTCTTTCTTTTCCCATGTGGTTCACACTAAGGCAGCTAACATGCTCATAAATAACTCACCTACACTCATGCCTCAGGATTTTGATTACTTTGCTGTTCCTTCATTTCTTTCAGATCTCTGCTCAAATGATACCTTATGGGAGAGACATCCCTTCTACCTACAACACTACCTTCTACCATTTTCCATCCCCTTTCACATATAATCACTGGATATATTTTATTGTTTATGTTTGCTGTCTTCAACTAGAAAGTAAAAGAAGTTGTGTGCCAGTTATGAGGCACTGAGGATATAGCCTTGACCCTCCGTTGTGTCCTAAAAGAACCTATGAACTGGCACACAACCAGCAATCAATAAATACTGTTCAATTAATCTCCTAACTTGAAATGTCTTCTGTATTATAATGTAAGGTCCATATAAACTTGGTTTATTTCTGGACTTTCCATATAATCCTATTGATTTATCTATGTATCATGTGCCAGTACAAAATAGTCTTATTAGTTACTATAATTTTGTTTTAACATATGATATGCCAAATTTTCCTTCTTTTTGAGAATTTTCTTGATTATTGCCATATTTATCTCTCCAGGATGAATATCAAAAATCAAACATCATTTCAAAATATCTTTTTAAGTTCTCATTAGAACTACAATGATATAGAATGAATTATCATATTTAAAAACAATTAAGTCTTCCTAGTCAAAAACAAGTTATTTCTATATAATAGTTATTCAATCTTCTTTATAGTTTTAAGCAGGACATTATAGTTTTTAATATTTCTGGAGAATATATGGTGGTGGTTTTTAAAAAAGCTTCTTTCCCACCATGTTTCTAACTGGTGATTATTGGTTCATATTTTATAAAAGCTATTGTTTTTAATATGTACGTATCATTATATAACATATATTAGCACATTTTTGTGTATACACACACACACACAATTTTCTTAACACTTCCCCATTTTACAAAACTTGTTATTTAAGATGTTTCAGGTAATTCCTTTCTATGTTGCATGTATATATGTGATGTTATCTATAATAATAAAAGTGTAATATGCTAATTAGACCAGACAGCTGAATGACCTTCTGGACGAATTTTGTGCATCGGGCCTCTAGTCATATATAAATTATGACAATACTGCCTTCATTTTTCCACTATTATACCTCTTATTGGATCCCTTTTCTAATTCTCTTAGGTAACTGGTTAGTACTTCTAAAATACTCTTAAATAATACTAGAAGACAACTTTTTATCATTCTTGTCTTTACTTCTAATATTTCACCACTAAATATTATTCAGGCTACTAATTTGTGATACACATTTTTATCATGTTAAAGAAATATCTCTCTACACTTCCTCAGTTTAGCAAGTTTATATTTCTAGAAAATACCTATTCAACACCTATCAAGATAACCATATTATTTTACTTCTATTAAAATGCAGAGTTATAAGAACAGACTTCCTAAAACGAAGCATCCTTTATTCTTGAAGTGAACTTTACTTGACTTTCTGCAAGTTACATTTTCTAATGAAAAGCCTGACACTATTGGCTAATCTCTCTCCTTTTGAATTTTTGGACTAATATCCTATAGACATTTTTCATGTTGTCTTTGTCAATTTGAAGTTTGTATCACACTATCTTTGTAAAAAGTCTTATTTCTTACATAGTACTGAGAATTGATTAAAAGTTTGGATACTAAGGTAAAACTGTCTACATATTAATTTTAATTTTGTCACCATTCTAGTTATTTGACCCTGGACAAATTCTTTATTTCTGTAAAGTCCATTTTTCTTAACTTTATAAAAAGAAGACAAAGGGTTGTTACAGAGCTCAAATGTGGCCAATTCAGATGAAATTCTTAGAACAATGCTTGCATCATATGTGTGAACTTATTATTAAAATAGATGCCCTAGTATCCAATACAATCAGAACAAACAGTAAGTAAACTGAAAAGATGGTCAGAGGGAATCATAAAAAAATAAAGATACACATACATAATTTAAACATTTTTATTTTAACATAAAATTTATAAATGAACATTTATTCTCCAATCTCCTGATATAGCCAACGCTTTCTCTTTGCACAGAGGATTCACTGAATGGGATTCTACATTAGCTTTCTTGCATAAACCACATCGATACATATCATCAAGGATTTAAAACAATCAGAGTGTCTTCTAAATTTTTATGACTTTTCTTTCTAATTTATATCTATTTGCCAAACTTTAAGTCCTTGCAAAGCACTGCATCTGTTAATTGAATGACAAATATACAGTAATAAAAAGTTGGCATGAAAGATTGGAAACAACTGCCTCTTGGTCATCATACTCTTCAGTGGGATAGTTACCAGAGTTACTAGCTGCAAAAATTCAGCTTCCCATGTTATCTAAGCTAATATTATTTACAGAAGAAATGGAAAGTTATCTATTAATCTAACAAGTCTATTGAAGGAAAAATTCATAGTATATTGGTATCTGTCTCATATCAATTTCTTTTCTAAAAGTTTTCATGCATATTTTAAAATACTTATGCAAATCTTACAAGTTGTAAATTAAGCATATATAATATAGGGGTAATATGCAAATTGGCCCCAACAGTGGAACGACCGGTTGCTATGATGCGCACTGACCAGCAGGGGGCAGACACTAGACGAAGGAGCTGTCTCTTGGTGGTTAGTGTGCTTCCACAGAGGGAGTGCCACTCAGCCAGAAGCCGGATCATGGCTGGCCAGCACAGCGGCGGTGGCAGGAGCCTCTCCCACCTCTGCAGCAGCGCTCAGCTGTTAGTTAGACATCCCCCAAGGGCTCCTGAGCTGCCAGAGGGATGTCTGACTGCCAGTTTAGGCCCAATCACCCGGGGAGCGGCCTAACCCAGCAAGTGGACATCCCTGAGGGCTTCCGGACTGTGAGAGGGCGCAGCCGGGCTGAGGGACC